TTTTTGTATCGTTCTTCTGTGTATTCTTGCCACCTCTTCTTAATATCTTCTGCTTCTGTTAGGTCAGTACCATTTCTGTCCTTTGTTGTGCCCATCTTTGCATGAAATGTTCCCTTGGTGTCTCTAATTTTCTTGAAGAGATCTCTAGTCTTTCCCATTCTATTGTTTTTCTCTATTTCTTTGCTTTGGTTGCTGAGGAAGGCTTTCTTATCTCTCCTTAGTATTCTTTGGAACTCTGCATTCAAATGGGTATATCTTTCCTTTTCTCCTTTGCTTTTTGCTTCTCTTCTTTTCACAGCTATTTGTAAGGCTTCCTGAGACAACCATTTTGCCTTTCTGAACATGGGTATTTCATGAAGGGGCTTGGGTGGTGTATTCACCTTCATGAAGGGGCTTCAGCAGAGGGATTTAACATAGAATAAGGGAAAATGTTGAGAGAGTTCAAGTTTTAGTTGATTGAAGTCACACAGTCAGAACAGGTCAACATCATCTTTCCTAATTTTTCCTCCAGGCTGGTAACTGAGCATGCAGTTACCACCCTCCACCTGGTGGGAGGGAGGGTGGGGATGTGGGGAGTGAGGGGGGCAAGGGGGACTTAGTTCCTGTAGCACAACTCAAAGAGGTGTGTCAGATTGTTATGTCCAGCCCTTGAGGAGGAACTAGGATTCTTGTTTCATGGCTGAATTATTGTTTCTCGATTGCAATCTTTTGTTCCTTTCAGATCATTAATTACTGAGACCTGTTCAAGGGCAAGCATTGTGGCCAGGCTTAGATCACAAAACAGCTTAGGCATAAAATGGCTTCTCTTATGTCAAAAAGCTATATTGAGTTCTTTTCCTCCTAGGAGTTCCCCATCCCCCCATCCTATCTGCTTACACTAGGACCTCAACCTTCCCAGAGATATGAAGGACACCTTCTCTGAAGAGGTGGATGGAGTATAATACCCCAGCTGGGATCAGTGGAGCTTCCTCCCAAGACTGGTGTGTCCCCCATCCGCCAGTCCTGTAAAACCACCCCAAAGTCCCACGGCCCTGCACGTAGTGGGAAGCCCTGCATGTAGTGGTACCTCTTCCCACACTCAGGCCCTAGTCTTACTAGATTGAAACCCAAGCGTGTTAAATGTGTCAAGTATGGCAGGACCCGCCCCCCAACCCCCACTTTTGACCTTTGGTTCTCAGTACCACCCCTTTTTAAAAAATATCTGGCTGCGCCAGGTCTTCGTTGGTTTGTGGGATCTAGTTCCCTGACCAGGGATGGAACCCCCTTCATTGGCAGCATGGCGTCTTAACCACTGCACCACCAAGGAAGTCCCTATTCTGATTCCATTTGAAAGAGAAATATCACTTCTGCAACGGAAAGCAAACAACTACAAGGCTACGTGAGAATAACTGCTTGAGCGAGTGTGGTGGCGCAGGCATGATAGTACATTACTAGATAATGCCCAGGGGACCTCAAGGCGTTCCCTTGATACAAGCTGTGCTTAAAACATACACGCTTTTCCTGAGAAACGCCAGGCGGGAGAGCAGCTCCAAGCTGGGCCTGGGCTCTGCCCATCTGGCTACACTGATGCCCTGAGGGAGGCAAAAATAGGGTAGGCGTTGGTCCCATTTTACAGGCGGGGAGCCTTCACTGGAGGCCAAGTGATGGCCCCAGTTCTACGCAGATGCGGTCAGGACCTCAGAAGCCAGGATCTCGTCTGACACAGATCCAGCGGGAGGCGGGCAGTGAGGACGCATTCCGCCGGGCGCCGGCGGCCTTGCTTCTCCGCGCCCCGCTGGGGTACGCTGACCGTGAGCCTCCCAGAACACCTATCTACACCCGGGCTGAGAACCCTCCGGCACCGGAGAGCGCTGGCCCCGCCCCGAGGCCCCTCCGGCCCCACGATTGGCTCCATGTGCAGGGGCGGGGCCGGACGCAAAGTAACGTGACGGCGTCAGGCGCCGCGGGAGCCGCTTCCTGTTGTCAGTGGCCGGGAGGCCTCGGCGTCCCATCCGAGGCTTAGGGGCTGCAGCGGCTGGCAGTGCCCCCGCCCCCTCGCCGCTCCCTTCGGTGAGTTAAGGATCCTGGGCGAGGCGGGCAGCAGAGGGGCGCGAGGCCGGGACGCATATGAGCAAGGGAACACCAGCACTCTCCGTGAGCCCAGACCCCTGGTTGCCTTAAGACTGCCCTGCTTCCGAGCCCTCACCCTTCCCAGCCCAGGCTCCGCGCCCCACTCGACCCTAGCCTTCGGCCCGCACCGCCGCTGCTGGCCTGTCCCCTCCATTTGCCACTCGTGACCTGACCCTAGCGCTTACCACCCCACCCCCCCACCACCGGTCTTGCGTAAATGCAGCCTCATCCTTGACCTCACTGTAGCCCAGTTCCATGGCCCCACGATTGGCTCCATGTGCAGGGGCGGGGCCGGACGCAAAGTAACGTGACGGCGTCAGGCGCCGCGGGAGCCGCTTCCTGTTGTCAGTGGCCGGGAGGCCGCGGCGTCCCATCCGAGGCTTAGGGGCTGCAGCGGCTGGCAGTGCCCCCGCCCCCTCGCCGCTCCCTTCGGTGAGTTAAGGATCCTGGGCGAGGCGGGCAGCAGAGGGGCGCGAGGCCGGGACGCATATGAGCAAGGGAACACCAGCACTCTCCGTGAGCCCAGACCCCTGGTTGCCTTAAGACTGCCCTGCTTCCGAGCCCTCACCCTTCCCAGCCCAGGCTCCGCGCCCCACTCGACCCTAGCCTTCGGCCCGCACCGCCGCTGCTGGCCTGTCCCCTCCATTTGCCACTCGTGACCTGACCCTAGCGCTTACCACCCCACCCCCCCACCACCGGTCTTGCGTAAATGCAGCCTCATCCTTGACCTCACTGTAGCCCAGTTCCAGCCCCGACCTTGACCGCATGCCTCTGCTTCCCCCCAGCACATGCCATCTTCACCTCTCAACCCCTTTGGCGATCCTCATGACGCACACTGGACTCTTTTCTGGTTCGGTTAGCCTTTTTCATATCAGCCTTCTTATCCGAATCTTCCACACCCTCTGCTCAGCTCCCCAGGGTATGCCCATCCTGAATACCCCATCTCTATCCAACTCTCATTTAAGACCCACCACCAAAGTAGACGCCCTGTTGAGCACACGCTTTTCTTTTTGATAACTCTGATCTCAGCCCTTTCTCAAGTCTTACACGCCTCTTGTCTTCAGACTCAACCCCTCACTTCCATAGCCCGCCATAGATTTCCTATCCATCTCCAACCATCAGAGGACACTCCTAATGTCCCTAAGTCTTTGCTAAACTGCCCCCGACTCTTGGTGCCCAGTTCTTAGCATCCTCACCCAATCTTATTAAAACTGAGGTCTCCTGCCCTCTCACCTCTGCTATCCCCAGCTCAGTTCTACACCTGTTTTTCCCTTAACCCAGTCCCCACTCAGTCTGAGAATCAGTGCAGAGTCCCCCTGCCAACCTCACCAGCTGCCCCTCAACAGCCAAATGTCACTGCTTTCTGGGAGCCCAACAGTTAGACACTGAGGGGTTTGATGGGTGCCGGCAGGGCCTCGTGTGGTAGGTAAGTGTGGAGAAGTAGAGCTCCCTGCTTTGGGTCAGGGTCAGGGATTTTTTTCCCAGGTGTCTGGTCCCCTGGACTTGCCCCCTGAAACTGTATGTCTAACATTCATATTAAATGACTTGTGCTGCTTCCGGAATGGTAGGTGTCCCCAGATACCTGGAAGGTGAAGATGGCCACTCACCTGGCTCCCACACAGCCTGGGGCAGTGGAAGCCATCACTTCCTGTTGGCTGGTTTTCTGGCCGGGAATAAGCTCCAGGAGCACCACTGTGTGGCAGTGTTCACAGAGCCTTGTCCATGTGTGTTGTCACTTGTTATGGACCCGCTCCTGGTGCTCCTGCCAGCTAGAGCTGAGAGCAGACCTGTCCTGAGCACAGGGAACGCAATGGATGCCAGAGATGATGTCACACGTTGTGAAGAGCGTAGGTGAGAGGGCTCCCAGGAGGCAGAGGCTCAGGCGGGTATAGCGGCTGTTGAATCACTTCCTTTTTCTGCAGGTGCTGGATCTTTGAGTTTGGGCCATTTGGTTACCCATGAACATGGGGAGCCCAGATATCTTGAGAAGTAGAGCTCCCTGCTTTGGGTCAGGGTCAGGGATTTTTTTCCCAGGTGTCTGGTCCCCTGGACTTGCCCCCTGAAACTGTATGTCTAACATTCATATTAAATGACTTGTGCTGCTTCCGGAATGGTAGGTGTCCCCAGATACCTGGAAGGTGAAGATGGCCACTCACCTGGCTCCCACACAGCCTGGGGCAGTGGAAGCCATCACTTCCTGTTGGCTGGTTTTCTGGCCGGGAATAAGCTCCAGGAGCACCACTGTGTGGCAGTGTTCACAGAGCCGTGTCCATGTGTGTTGTCACTTGTTATGGACCCGCTCCTGGTGCTCCTGCCAGCTAGAGCTGAGAGCAGACCTGTCCTGAGCACAGGGAACGCAATGGATGTCAGAGATGATGTCACACGTTGTGAAGAGCGTAGGTGAGAGGGCTCCCAGGAGGCAGAGGCTCAGGCGGGTATAGCGGCTGTTGAATCACTTCCTTTTTCTGCAGGTGCTGGATCTTTGAGTTTGGGCCATTTGGTTACCCATGAACATGGGGAGCCCAGATATCTGAGTGGCTGAGGCAGAGGGACATTCCTGAGGCCCCACTTTCAGCATTTATCATCGCCTGGGCTTTGGGGATACACATTCTTTTCAAATTCTGATGACCTGGCTTTAGAGGCCATTTGGTAGCAATTTTAAACGGTCCCCAATAGGACCTGTTGTCTTTGTTTGCCATTCATAGTCTTTTTTTCCCCATATTTATTTACTTATTTGGCTGTACTGAGTTCTAGTTGTAGCACACAGGATCTTTTTAACTGTGGCATGCAGGATCTAGTTCCCTGACCAGGGATCAAACCTAGGCCCCCTGCATTGGGAGCATGGAATGTTAGTCACTGGACCACCAGGGAAGCCCTCTTGCTATTTATAGTCTTGCTCCTTTGAAAAGTTGAATGCTCTTCTCCCTTCAATGTCCACCCCCCACCCTATTAAGGTGGGATACATTGAAATAGTTTTAGCCAGCTAGCAGGGTGGTTTAATGTAAGGTGTTCCATCCTGGCTGAGAACTGTATACCTCAGCTTCCCTCAGCCTGTGAAATGGAGATTCCTGCCCTGAGCCTTATTTTTGTTTTATTCTAATGTTCATCCAGTAGATGTTTTTTGAGCATGACTATGTGCTGTGCATTGCTCTAGACACCAGAAATGCAATGGTGAATGAATTCAAGTTCCTGTTATCATTCGTTCAGAGTTGGTCCTTGCTGGAATCCTAAGGACGGGACAAGAATATGGGGGAGATGGGTGTTATTGATGGAAGGAGGAAAGAAAACTGCTCTGTCTTCACTGACTTCACATTTCTGGCCTTACTCACTAGCCTTTAGTTTGGGAATCACAGGGCTAGAGATTTCTGTCCCTCTAGCGGGTATCTGATGATTTCAAAGGCTGTTCCACACTCTCCCCACTCCCTTCTCCTGCCTCAGGACACTTGTCCAGAAATGCAGCCGTCTTCAGGTGGAAAGAGGTATAGTTTACTCACTCCGCACTCACATGTCTGAAAGATCAGCTGCCCTTCTGAATCAGAAGACAACTTTGTCCTTCTTTTCCAGCTGAAAACCGTGACTCATCAGTTCATACAGCAGCTGGATGGCTTAAATGCCAGACTGTTCTCAATAGCCCGGTACAGGGCTGGATTCAGGCCGTAGAGAGCAGGCTGTTGGGAATAGCTGGGAAGTCTCTAAGGAGAGGAGGCTGCTGTTTACTGATGGATGGAGTGTTTCAGAACTGGAGAAGCCCAGCAGTTCTTTTCTTCCTTTAGTGTAAGTCTCATCTAAGCCATTTTTTTCGTTTCTTTCTTCCTTGGTCTCTGGAGGAAGTGAAATTGGACATTCATAGAAGGCCAGGCAGCATAAGAAAGAAAAGCAACCAGAACAATTCCTTCCTGTGTGTTGGAACATTTAAGAAAAGACAACTGTGAAACCTGGGTACCATGGAAAGGGCTTGGCCTCAGCTGGTTGGGACTACAGACTTGATGGGTAAGATTGTTTGAGTTTCTGAGTGCAAAGTTAATTATTACTTAGTTCGAAAGTAGTAAGTTTTGCCTGAAACTCTTGGAATCAAAGACCTGAGGCACTTTGATCTGGCAAAAGACACAAGACAGAATGAGGAAACCAAAGAGTTCTATTCCTACTGAACCTTAGTTTTCTCCTTTGTAAAATGGGGATAATCACCCTTCTCTGACTGGATTGATTTAAGAATTACATGAGATTAGAGAAGCTTGAAGCGTTGAGTCCGGGTGAATTGTTTCTTAGGGGGAGAGGTAGACTTTTCAAGGTTAGGATTTGCCTCAGGGACAGACAGAAGTCACCTTTTCTGCCAAACTCCACCAGTGGTGTTTGAAGAACCTTTTAGCAGTGTTCCCCACATTATCCCCTTACTCTTTTTAGCCTAGGTCTCTTTGCAGCCCCCCCCGCCCTTTGGTTTGGTTTTTGGTGTCAGTGAAGAGTGTTCTGAGGACAGGAAGTGAAACCCGTCCCATGGGAAGGTACACTGGGGGGCCCTGGAGAATGATGGAGTGCTGACCCAGCAGTCAGGAGACCGAGCCCCATTCTGGTTCCATCAGCAAGTTGTTGTGCCATCAGCCATCACGCTCCTTCCTCTGAGCTGTTTGCTGCCTCTCTGAGGCATTCTGGGGCAGACCCACATAGGCGGGGCGCTTTGGCTTCTTACAAAGGAAGATGTGCCCCGAAGTGTGGCATGGACCCCAAAGCCTCAGTCCCGCTTTGTGACTTACCAAGTGGCTGCTGCCTTCTGAACTCCTCTGCCCTGTCACTCTGCAGCCTTTCTGACACTTGGCTTTAAAAGCGACAGGTACTTGTCTGGCCCTGCTCTGACCTCTCAGCATCAGTCTATGTGTGAAGAGACCCTTTCTGGCCTGAAGCACCTGGTTACTAACAGGGCTACCCCCTTCTTCCCCACCCATGAATATTATTTTCAGTTAATTCATTATGAGGCCTTAATGAACCCAGGCTGTTGTTCCAGGTTGCTGAGGCCTAAACCTTTCCTGTCCTGACCTGTGGCTGGTTGAGGGAAGGGCAGCTGTGGGGCTTGAGGCTCCCTCCAGAAGAGGCAGGCCCTAGGGGAGCCCTGTGGCCTGAGGGGAGGCCTATGGCCGCTGGAATTACTGAAGGGGATTGGTGCCCAGGGTCTTGGAGCCAGAACACCTGGATTTGGCCTCCTGAGCTGCACAAGGTGGCCTGGAAGGAACATTGTCCAGAGGGACTGTTTGCAACACCAGTCCTTCCGCCTGGGGTGCTGGTGGCAGGAGACTGGATGAGGGCCCGAGAATCACTGTAGGTGGGAGGGGGAGTGAGGTGAGGGTGAGGCAGTAAGACAGGGCCTGAGGCCAAGGGTTGCATCCTGTGGTCCGTCACGCCCTGACCAGGGCTGGCTCTGCAGGGGCCACCCTCCAAACCCCTCCCTCATTCCCCGTGTCTTTACTGTGGGAGGTCAGCTCTGGGTCCGGTTTACCCTCTGCCAGCCCCAGGGACCAGGGACTGAATCTGACCGTCTCCCACTGTTAAGGGCCATGCTGTCTCTGTCACTTCTAAGTGTTGAGCTCACATCCTCCTGTAAACCTTTCCTGCCAGGCTGACCTCAGTGTCCCCCTGCAGCCCCTCACCTGGACCCCCAGGCCTCCCTGCCCCCTTTTCCCTCCCTGCCTTAGCCCTCACCCACACCCACCTCTTCCAGAAGGGAGGTGATCACACTCCGTCAGTCTGAGGGTTTCCCTTGAGCAGGGGTGACCCTTGTCCTGGCAGTGGGCGGTGGAGTTGGCCACTTACCAGCCTCGAAATCTTGGGAATTTCCTTGACTTGCATCAGCTTCTGTTAATAAAGACAGAAATAAACACTAAGACAATAAAACACTCCCAGGGTGGTTATGAGAAATGAATGAGGCGATATATGTAAAAGGTACAAAACCCATTGAGCGTGCCTTGATTTTAGTAACGTCTTTGGGCCGTGAGTTTCGGTTGATTGTTTTTTTGGCTGTGCTACATGGCATGTGGGATCTCAGTTTCTCAACCAGGGGTTGAACTCACAGCCCCTGCAATGGAAACATGGAGTCTTAACCACTGGACTGCCATGGGACTCCCCTGGGCCATGAGTTTTTGAAAGCAGAGACAGCAATACCCTTTTTTGCTTTTCTTTTTTTGGTGTCCCCTCATGCTCAGCTGTGTGGCCACTCGAGATTTGTTTAGATGTGAGTGTGCCTGTCCAGTCCTGGTCTGGACAAGTTGCTGTGGTGGGACCAGGCAGCAGCCCCCTCAGGTTCAGGCCAAAGTCCCCACCATCCCCCACCGTGCCACCCTTGGCCTAGTTGCCTCAGGAGAAAGCCAGCTACCCCAAGAAATGTCTCTGCATACTGACTTGAGCTGCCTGCACACTCTTATTTGGGCAGTGGCATTCTTTGCCAGTAAATTTGGACAGTCATGTCCAGTAGGGTTAGAGATACCATTTATTCTTGGTAAATATCAGGCCCTGTGCTTGGCACTGTCCACGCTCATAGTCTCCCTCCGAGAGGTGTGATACGTGCCCCAGTGTGCTAAGTTGGTTAGTGGCAAATTAAGATTAGAACCCATGTCGTTACCCTTTAGACATGTGCCTGTGCTGTTCAGGCTAGCCCCTCATGGCCCAGAGAAGCAGCAGCAGTGTGGCAGGAGTGCCGTTCCGTCTGAAGCCATGTCAGTTGTACTTTTCCCCGCTGGCTGGCCGAGCCTGGGCTAGGAGAGGAGTCACGGGACAGTTGCAGGGCCCAGGCCCTGAATGTGAGCTGTGAGTTCCTGCTTCTCAGCCCCTGTGGGTTCTTGGCGCCTTCAGCTGCAGCAGTCCCCTTGCGCCCTCAGCTCTGTATCAGATCTGCCTTTCATCCCCTGCCTTTTGGTGCCAGTGTTTGGTGCGGTGTAAAGGGCCCTTTCTGGGCTTCCCTGGTAGCTCAGCTGGTAAAGAATCCGCCTGCAGTGCAGGAGACCCCGGTTTGATTCCTGGGTCAGGAAGATCCCCTGGAGAAGGGATAGCCTACCCACTCCAGTATTCTTGGGCTTTGCTGGTGCTCAGATGGTAAAGAATCCACCTGCAATGTGGGAGACCTGGTTTCAGTCCCTTGGCTGGGAAGATCCCCTGGAGGAGTGCAGGGCAACCCACTGCAGTATTCTTGCCTGGAGAATCCCCATGGACTGTAGCCCACCAGGCTCCTCTGTCCATGGAGTCAGAAAGGAGTCAGACGTGACTGAGCAACTAAGCACAAAGGGCCCTTTCTACCCACCTTTTGGGACAGACCTGCCCTTGGCACCCAGGGCTCCTCGTGAGGTCCAATCCATCAGCCTTTTTTTCCTTCCTTATTTCCTTCCTTAAAATCCACTCTCAGTTTTTACATTTGTATTCAAAGCCCTTTCGGTTGCAGTTTCGAGGGTGAGTTATGGGGAACAGGCGGGCTGGCGCAGTGATGGCTCCTGTGGCCGTGTCTGTCCCTGCAGGTGTCATGTGATTGTCCTGGGGAGCTGCTGCTGGAGTGGAAATGCTCTCAGGGGTGGAGAATGGACTGGACCCCCGGGCTGCCATCCCGGTAGGCAACAGGGGACGATCAGGGTGGGGGAAGGGGTGCCTGGGACAGCCATGCCTTTGTTTTTTCTCGCTTTGAAATGAATTAGCCCTGTTTAGAAAGAGAAGGCTGAGAAAAAGTTGCGCACAAAAGATCCTGCCCAAAATCATCTTATTGGTGATAAAATGAGGATTTACAAGAAACAATGGGGATTGAATATAGGTTACCGGAAGACCAGGGATTTCTCCGAAGAAGATACACAGATGACCAATAAATACATAAAAAGATGCTCAATATCATTAGACATTAGACAAAGACAGATCAAAGCCATAAGGAAGAAAACAGAAGTGAAGTCACTAGTGTAGGAAACAAACTTATGATTTTCAGGGGATAAGGGGAGGGGAGGGATAAATTGGGAGATTGGGATGTATATACACACTGCTATATATAAAATAGATAACTAATAAGGAAATACTTCGGCCACCTGATGCAAAGAACTGACTCATTGGAAAAGACACTGATGCTGGGAAAGATTGAGGGCAGGAGGAGAAGGGGATGACAGAGGACGAGATGATTGGATGGCATCACCGACTCAGTGGACATGCATTGGGGACATGTCTCCCTCTCCTTCACAAACTCCAGGAGATAGTGAAGGACAGGGAAGCCTGGAGTGCTGCAGTCCACGGGGTTGCAAAGAGTCAGACACAACTTAGCGACCGAACAACAACATTAACAATAAGCACCTGCTGTGTAGCACAGGTCAATACTCAATACTCAATAATAGCCTATATGGGAAAATAATTCTTTTTAAAGGGTGGAGAGATGTATATATATATATAACTGATTCACTTTGCTTGCCCCTGAAACTAACACAACATTATAAATCAGCTATACACCAATAAAAATTTAAAAAATAAAATAGTAAGGAAAAAAAAAAAGCCATAATGAAGGACTTCCCAGATTGTCCAGTGGTTAAGACTCTGAGTTTCTATTGCAGGGAGTGTGGATTAACTCCTTGGTAAGGGAACTAAAATCCCACATGCCGAGCAGTGTAGGGGGAAAAAAAAACCATATTGAGATGCTTCTTCATACCTACCAGGATGACTGTAATGAAAATGGCAGACAATAATAAGTGTTGGTGAGGTTGTAGAAAAGTTGGAACCCGCATCCCTTGCTGCTGGGAGTGTAAAATGGTATAGCCATTGTGGAAAACACTTTGATAGTTCCTCAAAAAGTGGAACAGTGTTACATACAACCCAGCAATTCCATTCCTAGGTATATACCTAAGAGAACTGAAAACATATGCTACACAAAAACTTGTAGATGAAAAAAAAAACAAACTTGTACATGAATGTTCAAGCAACATTGCAGCTGAAAAAGTGGAAACGACCCAAATATCTATTAATTGATGAGTGCATAAATAAAATGTGATATATCTGCACAATAGAATATTATTTGGCAATAAAAAGGAATGAACTACTGATCCAAGCTAGAACACCGACAAACTTGAAAACATGCTATGTGAAAGAAGTCAGACACAAAAGCTGTATGTTGTGTGATTGCATTTATATGAAATGTCCAGAAAATAGGCAAATCCATAGAGACAGAAAGTACATCGGTGGTTGCCAGAGGTTGGGGGAGGAAGGGAATAGTGAGTGATTGCTAATGGGTACAGGGTTTCTTTTGAGGGCAATGAAATGTTCTAAAATTAGATAGTAGCAATGGTTGCACAGTTCTGTGAATGTGCTAAAAACCACTGAGCTGTGTGTTTTAATGAGCGGATTTTATGATATGTAAATTATGTCTCATTAAAGCTGTTCTGACAAAAGAACATTTAACTTTTCAAAGAACATTAACATGGATTGTGTTGTCTAAAATAAAAACCAGTGACACATTTGTCCATAATCCTGTCACCTAATAATTCAAACCAGTTTTTCTGTAATCCCTTCCAGTCCTTTTCCAAACCCTTAGGTAATTTTGACATATGTACTTTTATTATGCTAGGACAATCTTAACTCTGTATTTCCAAAGGACTTTATGTATATTTAAATATAGGCTTTCTCTAGTTGCAGTGTGTGTGGGCTTCTCCAGTTGTGGCTCACAGGCTCTTTAGTTATAGTGTTTGGGCTTAGTTGCCCCAAGACATGTAGGATCTTAATTCCCTGACCAGGGATTGAACCCTGAAGGCGTCCCCTTCATTCAAAGGGGACTTCTTAACCACTGGACCACCAGGGAAGACTCCTATGTATGTTTTATGATTTATTCATTTAGCAATCATTTACCGAGTACACATGCCGAGAACCAGGACCATTGTTGAGGGCACGAGGATGAATAAAAAGCTAGTCCTGCCCTCAAAGAGTTCCCCCGCTCAAGTGCTGCAAATCACGGAGTATTATTTCTGTATAACAGATAGGAAATTGAGGCTCAGAGAGGTTAGGTGGAATATCTGAGGTGACCCAGCTGGTGACTACCAGAACTGAGATTAAACCCAGGCTGTGACTGCCAGGTCTAGGATCTTTCTTCCTATAAACCATGCTCCTGTTTCCAGGCGTTTTTATTGTTCTAACGCAACACTTTTTTCCTCTTAACTTATTGACTCTCTGTGGAATGTTGGTCATATGATTAAGATGGAAAAATCTCACTCTTGCCCTAGATGAATTACCTCAGCTCCCATATCTGTAACTATGATGAAGTCAGTACTTAAACACAAGGTTTATATGGCTGTCAGCTCACTGAAGTTTGGTTTAAAAAACAAGCAAACAGGCAGTTCCCCAGCAGTCCAGTGGTTAGGACCTGGTGCTTTCACTGCTGTGGCCCGGGTTCAATTCCTGGTTGGGGAACTAAGATCCTATAAGCCTCACAGCATGGCCAATAAATAAGTAAATAAATTTAAATACTGAAAACCAAGCAAAAATACCCCACAAATATCTTTGCAAAAAAAAAAAAAAAAAACATAATAATAACAACACCTCTCTGTGTGATTTTTTTCTTTTTCTTCTTTCTCTTTATTTTCTACCATTAGCCTGTACTAAATTTTTTTTTTTATTAAAATTTTTTGTTTTTCTTTTTAAAAATTTTTAAAAAAGAAAAAAATTTTAATTTATTTATTTGGCTGCACTGGGCCTTTGTTGCAGCATGCAGTATATTTAGTTGCGGCATGTGGGCCCTCGCCCCTTGACCAGGGACCCCTGTGTTGAGAGCGCACAGTCTTAGCCATTGGACCACCAGGGAAGTCCCAGCCTGTCCTAGTCTTGTTGCATAGATACACGATTTGTGCTTGCATGGGGACCCATGTGGTTGGTGACAAGCAGAGTGACATTGCAGGGGTCGCCACAGGAGCCTCTAAAGACCCGTGTTGTGTCCGGCGCCCCCTAGGTCATCAAGAAGAAGCTAGTGGGCTCCGTGAAGGCGCTGCAGAAGCAGTACGTGTCCTCGGACGTGGTGGTCACGAGCGAAGACGGAGATGCCAACAGCATGTGCAGCGCCCTGGAGGCCGTCTTCATCCACGGCCTGCACGCCAAGCACATCCGCGCCGAGGCCGGAGGGAAGAGGAAAAAAGGCGCCCACCAGAAGCCTCTGCCTCAGCCTGTCTTCTGGCCTCTCCTGAAAGCTGTCACCCACAAGTGAGAGCCGCTGGGTGGAAGCGGGGTTCACGTCGGGGTGGAGCTTCAGTATGTGGGGCTCTGGGCTCTTCCTTCCAGGACTTTTCTGTGAAAAGCCACAGGGAGCCCTGTGTCATGGAGAGGAGATGGCCCAGGGGAGGCTGGTGTCAGACCAGGCCTCAGCGGGCCCCTCAGGCGGTGTCGAGCCCCTGGGCTGGGCACCCTGAGTGGAAGCAGGAGCCTTCTTTTCTCCTCCTCTGGCAAATTCTGTAGTTGGAACAGAAGCTGTGTGGCCTGCAAAGCCTACAATCTTTACTGTCTGGCCCTTTCCAGAAATTTGCTGACCCTGCCTGAGGACGTTTGCATATTTGTTGCTAAGTATCATACTTGTAAGGAGGTAGGGCTTTTTTTTTTTTTTTTTAATTTAAGAAGAGCAGCGTCCAGCCAGAGCATCTGAATGTGTGCCCTGAGACGCTTGGCTTGCCTGCCCTGCCCTGAAGCACCTGGGCTCTGGAGCAGCCAGCTGGCATGGAGCCTCTCTGGTCTCTTAAATGTCCCTGGTGGCCTGTCAGTCTCGAATCTTCCTTTTCGTGCCTACTGCCGCTGCGCTGCCTCAGGCTCTTACCTTAATTCTGGGTGGAATGCCTTTCTAAGTGTCCCCCTTGTCTCCTTCTGTCTTTCCTTTGGTCAGTCAGCCAGCCTTCAGCGAGCTTAAGCTGACCAGAGCTCCATCCGTGGGTTCTGCAGAGTATGGTCAGTGGTCCCGTGGAGGGGCCATGCGCGGGGGATGGTGTAGTCAGAGGAGGGGCACTTATAGCAGACGGAGACATGTCAGGAGCTGAGTTGGGTACACATGGGACCGGGATGGAACACCCTACCCTGAAGTCTGCATAGCTGTGGGCGTGTAGCTTTCCTGAGGAAAGCCCTGTATCCATAGGCTCCCAGATGTCAGGCTGGGGCCCCGGAACCTGTATCCTGGTCTCATTCTCTACAGAGTTCTAATGCACAGCCAGGGGTGGGCACCATTGCCCCACTCTACTTCCCCCATTTGATACTCAAGACCTGTATTATTACCTCGCCTTGCAACCCAATCTTCCATCCTCCTCCCCAAGCTGTAACCAGAGCGCTCCCCACTCCTGTTATAGACTGTAGCTTTTCTCCCCTTATGCCTTTTTGTCTATCAGTCTCTTACGCCTTGAAAGTTCTCCTTCCATCTTTGCCTCTTGAAATCCCTCAAGGCCCAGTGCAGAGACCCCATTTCTATGGCATTTTTCTTACTCCAACCCAGAAATGATTGCTTGGCCCCCACCAGAGTGCTGCTAACAATAGGACTCACCTCAGTATGCCCTTGAAAAGTCATTACCTGGACCGAGGGTAGGGGCTATGTCTTGACCCCGTGTCTTCACAGCTCCAAAGACCTTGCCCTGGGGGCTCAACAGACGTGTCCCAGATGAGCAGATATTGTCAGGCCAGACAGATAGTTGTCATGAAAATGGCAATGATCCTTCATGATACCAACCTAAGAACATTGGGGGTTATAGCTGAATCTTTCTGAATTCCCCTTCAAATGCTGTTATCCAAGAATTTTTCATGCCTAGGTATACTTGCAGTCATTGTTCTTGGCTCTTGCTAACCAGTGGGTAACATGACATCTCGGTGACTGGCAGTCGTTTCTTGAAACGTGTCCGTTCTCCATCTTCCCAGACACATCATCTCGGAGTTGGAGCACCTGATCTTTGTGAGCACGGATGTGGGCCGCTGCCGGGCCTGGCTGCGGCTGGCCCTCAACGACGGCCTGATGGAGTGCTACCTGAAGCTGCTGCTACAGGAGCAGGCCCGCCTGTGCGAGTACTACCAGCCCACGGCCCTGCTCCGCGACGCCGAGGAGGGAGAGTTCCTCCTGAGCTTCCTTCAGGGCCTGACGTCCCTGTCCTTTGAGCTCTCCTACAAGTCTGCCATCCTCAACGAGTGGACACTCACCCCGCTGGCCCTCTCGGGGCTCTGCCCGCTCTCAGAGCTCGACCCCCTCACTACCCCTGGAGCTGAACTGCAGCGGAAGGAGTCTCTGGACTCCATCTCCCATTCCTCGGGCTCAGAGGACATTGAGGTCCAGCACTCAGGCCACAAGATCCGACGGAACCGGCAGCTCACCGCCTCCTCCCTCAGCCTGGACACGGCCAGTTCATCCCAGCTCTCCTGCAGCCTCAATTCTGACAGCTGCCTCCTCCAAGAGAATGGCTCCAAGAGTCCAGACCGTTCCGAGGAGCCCATGTCCTATGACTCAGACCTGGGGATGGCCAATGCTGACGACTCGGACATGTCTCTGCAAGAGTGAGTTCCCCTCCCCCACCCCTTCCCCTGCCTTCCTGCTTCTCTCCCTCTTGTCCTTCCGCCCTTCCTGGAGCATGTGATTGCCTGTCACTGAGCTCAGGCCTCTGTTAGGGCAGGAAGACAGACAGAGAGGTCATAGACTCTTCCTCAGGGACCAGAGTTGCTGGGAGCTGTACCTGGAAGTAAACTGGGGCTAGTGGGGAGAATGCATAGAAAGCATTTTTTTTAAAAATATTTATTTATTTATTGGGCTGTGCCAAGTTCATTGCAACACTTGAGCTCTTCCATCTTCGTTGTGGTATGCAGGATCCTTAGTTGTGGCACAGGAACTCTTAGTTGTGGCATGTCGGGTCTAGTTCCCTGATCAGGGCTCGAACCCCGGCCCCCTGCCGGGGGAGCATGGAGTCTTAGCATGATCCTGCAGGGAAATCCCTGGAATGCCTTTAGATGGGGCTCAGAGCTGGTTCCAGCTCCAGCTCTGTCCTAGGTGACCTGTGACAAGTTAGTTAGTCTGAGTTTCAGTGTCAAATATCACTGTCATCTTCATCTAAAGAGAAGGAAACCAATAGTTCAGAGCTCTGTGTACAACTTCCAAAAAATACAGTGAAGCACAGTGCACAGCGTGATCTTCTGGGACCTCATGGAATGACAAACTTGACAGGAGACAGGAGCCTGGGCAGAACCCTTCCTTCATTCAGGCTTTTTAACGTTGGTTTTTGATAATCTATTTTTATGGTTAAAAAAAAAATTTAAAATGTGTACCGTGAAAAATCTCTCCCACCCCTGTAACCATAAATATTAATTTCTTACATATTTTTCCAGTGTCTCTAAATCCAGCTATACTATGTGTGACTATGTAGATTTGAACTTTTTCTTTCTTATTTCTTCTTTTTTAATCGAAGTATAGATGATTTACAATGTTGTGTTAGCTTCATATATATATATATGTATATATATATATCCTTTTATAGATTCTTTTCCTTTATAGGTTATTATCTTTCTTATTTCTTTATTTGGCTGTGCTTGTCTTTGTTGCTGCACATGGGCTTTCTCTAGCTGTGATGCACACAAGCTTATCTGGTTGTGGCACATGTGGCTCATGGGCTCTACAGTGCAGGCTTAGTAGTTGGGGTACACGGGCTTGGTTACCTCGTGGCATGTGGGATCCTAGTTCCCCGACCAGGGATTAAACCCACGTCCCCTACATTGAAGTCAGATTCTTTACCACTGGACCACAGGGGAAGTCCTTTATCTCTTGTTTCTTATTTCCCCACTTCTTTCCACAAAAGCTAGTATAAATTATAAATACACCATTCTATACCTTACCAGGGCTTCCCTGTGGCTTAGTGGTAAAGAATCTGCCCACAATGTAGGAGACCCAGGTTCAATCCCTGGGTTGGGAAGATCCCCTGGAGAAGGAAATGGCAACCCACTCCAGTATTCTGGAATTCCATGGATAGAGAAACCTAGTAGGCTACAGTTTATGGGATCACAAAGAGTCAGACACAACTGAGTGATTAACACATACATACATACCATATTTGGGAGATCTTGTCATATCAGAGCTTCTTTTTCTATTATATTTGTGTCCACTATATGAATGAATGTACCTTAGTTTATTGAATCATCCCTGAGTTTAATGGACATTGGAGTCCAGGGTTTCTACAAATAACCTGTGAATGTGGTCCTTTAGGTCTATGTGAGTTCTCTCTGTTCAGTAAATTCCCAGAAGAAAAATTACTGAACCAAGGGGTAGATTAATTAGTAACTTTCACAGATATTTCCTATTTACACTTCATCAGTGGTATGCCTATGTCCTCTCAGCCTTGACAACAGAAGGTATTAACAAACTTTTGGATGTTGCCTCATCTAATAGGTAAAAACAGTAGCTGTTTATGAAGCATTCCCTCCAGGTATTACCCGTTTTTCCAGCAACTGTGGTTAGGACCTTCTTTCCACTACTGCTGTCCCCGCCCTCCCCCGTCTCCTTGGTTCAGGTCTTTACAGGGCTCCCACCTGTGTGGGAATCACACCAGGACTCTGGGTGTCCTGGACTGGCCCGGAAGCAGATCCAGTTTCAAGCCAGTTCCACCACGTACAAGCACAGTGGTATCCTGCATATTGCTAACTCTTTTTGAGGTTCTGTTTATCTTTTCTTTTTTTTTCCCGGAATGTAGTTGATTTACAATGTTGTGTTAGTTTCCATCATACAGCAAAGGGGTTTAGTTGTATATATACATCTATCCACTCATTTTTAGATTCTTTTCCCATATAGGTCATTGAGTTTCGAGTAGATGTCCCTGTGCTATACAGTAAGTCCTTACTGTTACTGTAGTTACTGTTTCATTGTTTTTTTATCTTTAAAGTGGAAATTCCCTCATAGGGCCGTTTGAGAGTCAAATGAGATGCCCGTCAATCAGTTGCACACATAAGAATGTGTGGTAGTTCCCAGAAACGGCTTCTGAACATCGAGCACATCAGATAGAGTTTTCACATGTCCAAACAGAAGGATTAGATATGATGTGCTGAGAAGACGCAAGCCCTGCCCCAGAGGCGGTGGGGCCCGAGGCGTGACTGCCTGTCAGCCACCTGTCCTGGCCTTTGGTGCTTCTCCCTTCCCCCGCAGACCAGCCAGTCCTCTCTGTCATGTGTCTTGACTTTATCTTTCATGTGTCTTATGATTGGAAAATTCCAGCTTAAGGTTGTTGAATCAGTGACCATCCACCCTCCTTCAGGGGAAGTGTTGTCCTGGGTATTCTGGGGGAACAAAAGGGAAGAAGTCAGGAAGCATAAACCCACACTGGACAGTGATGTGGGGAACCAGACACCACACACACACATGCAGAAGCACGCAGCCAGCACCACCATTCTTAGAGCATCCACAGAGACCAGCGTTTCTTGGAGTGTATGTTTCAAGGGAGATTCTCACCAACACTTAGAGAGTTAAGTTAATGTGTTACTTAAATGCATGTAACTTACAATTGGGCATAAACACATTGGGCTTAAAACTCAAAACATCTGCAAATTGGGAATTCCCTGGTGGTCCAGCGATTAGACCTCCATGCTTTCGCTGCCCTGAGCCCAGGGTTTAATCCCTGGTAGGGGAACTAAGATCCAGCAAGCTGGGCTGTATAGGAAAAAAACAAAACAAAACTACAAATCAGACATGAATTGCAAAACCCATTTCAAATGAAATTTATTAATGTTTGGCAGAAACCAATTTACAGTTTACCTTGTGAAGAAAGGATTAACTGCCTCTCACGGCTTCTTTGGCATTTGTTGGGTCTGAATTATAATTATTGCTGAGAAGCACAGGTACAGTCTCGTGGTAAAGAGTGTAGACTCAAGAGCCAGACTGCCTAAGTCCTCCATCAACCAGCTTTGCTACCTCAGGCAAGTTAGTAAACCCTTCTGACCTTGATGTCCTCATCTGTAAAATGGGGGTGAGAATGCTTCAAAGGAATGCTGGGGTGATGCGGCAAATAGAGACCTTCATATGCCTAGAACAGTGTCTGACTCAGCATGCTTGCTGACCACGTGGTGGTGTTATTTAACTTCTGGGTACCTGTGATATCAGCTCTGCTTGTCCCCATATCCACTGCTGAAAAACCTTGCTTAGTAATATTTGTAAGAGGTCACTGTCATGAGGCTTTCCCTTGGGGGAGAAATGATTCTTAGTATATGCATCCCACCTCTGTGCTTTTATTAGTGGCTCTTGACTGCCAAATAGTACCGTGTATCACCACCACAGTTCGCATGTTCAAAAAAACCACAGGCTCAGAATTGCTCATCAGGGGTCCTTTATAAGGTGACCATTCAGACTCTTCAGGTCATGGGGGTATAGCTCAGGGGTAGAGCATTTGCCTGCAGACTCTCCAGGCCATGCTTTTTATTTACTTTACACATATAAGTACTCATAATACATATATTTTCCCACCAGATTGCTCTCTAAATGAAAGCACAAAGTCAGAAATTTTTCAAATAGAAAGTTTTTGGTAAACAGGGCCTTGTACCAGACCCCAGTGGAAGGACTGTAGCAGTTTCACAGTTTCATTTCTTGGTTTTTCTTTTTTTTCACTGTTTCATTTCTATGTTGTATTTTATAAATAGAAATATAAAACTGTCAAAATGTTTGACAGTTTTCTTTCTTTGCCTTTGCTTCACAATCTCATCTCTATCCCTTTTTCCCACTTGATGTACATATCTCTTACTCTCACTGGGTCCTGAAGACTGGTACCAGTTCTGGTGAAGCTCTGTGAACTTGATTTCACCTTGCCTTTAGTTTTGATTTGACAGAAGCTATAGTTGATCACACAGGCTTCTTGCCATTTAGTGGCATTTCCCTAGGCATTAAATCACTCACTTATTCTAACACCCTATCCATTCTTGTCATTAAAACCTTTCTTATAGATCAGGATTCATGTCTATTTGATAACCATTTTGGCAATGCTAGTGAGTGTTTCAATAAATCTTCTCCTTTGCTTACATTTTTATGTTTGTGTACAGGGAGGCTAAGCAGCCTTATCAGTGATAATGAGGTTAGTGTTACTTTGTGCCAAACCCTGTACTAAGCACTTTACCTGTATTATCTCATTTAATCTTTGTCAGAGTCATAAAAGGTGGATGCTGTTACCACATCTGTCTTTCAGATAAGGGAATTATGTCCATGAACTTCATGTTCACATTGTGCGGCCCACAGCCACATGCTAACCAAGGCCAGGAGGACTCGGGGAGCCCTGCTCTTAATCACTCACCACACCACCTCCTGAGACCTCACAGAGGACCTTGTCAAAAATCTGCCTCGCTAGTTCATTTCAGATGAGGTCCCATTCTGTCCCAGCGGTTTGGACACATACAGTTGGTTAGCAAATGTCCCCTCCTCCTTTGCTGGTGGAAAGTCCCCTTTTCTCTCCAGCTCATCGTTGCCTTCTCCCTACAAGCTGCACTCTTGGATTTCTCATGGGCCTCTTTTAGAGTGCAGCTTTAGAGCAAGAATGAGCCCCCACCTGCCTCCCCCCATAACTCTCCCACAAATACAACCGCACCTTTCTCTGACGAGTCATCCATTTATTTGTTGTGCCATGCTTAGTCGTGTCCGACTCTTTGTGACCCCATGGATTTCTTTGTCCGTTGGGATTCTCCTGGCACGAATGCTGGAGTGGGTTGCCATGCCCTCCTCCAGGGGATCTTCCCAACCCAGGGATCGAACCCAGGTCTCCCGCGTTACTTATCAAGACAGAATTCACATACCATAAAATTCACCATTTTAAAGTGTAGTTTAAAAAAATAATAATAAATAAAGTGTAGTTTTCAGTGGTTTTCACTATAGTCTCAAGGTTGTGAATTCAACATCTATACTATCTTTAAAAAAAAAAAATTTGCTTGGCTGCATTAGATATTAGTTGCCCCACACAGGATCTTGTATCTTTGTTGCAGCCTGCATAATCTTTAGTTGCAGCATGTAGGATCTAGTTCCTTGACCAAGGATCGAACTCAATCCCCCTGATAGAGAGTGCAGAGTCTTAGCCACTGAACCACCAGGAGAGCCCCCAGCATCTACTACTCTCTAATTCAAGAATATTTTCATCCCTTACCCATTAGTTATAAATTTACCTATTCTGGACATTTAATGTCAATCAAGTCGTACAATATGTGGCTTTTTGTGACTGTCTCCTTTCACTGAGTACCATGTTTTCAAGGTTCATCCACATTGTAGCACATATTATGGCCAGATAATATTCCATTGTCCATTGTGTAGATATACTACAGTTTATTTATCCATCAGTTAATGGGCATTTGTTTTTTTTCTGCTTTTTAGCTGTCATGTTGCTATGTGTAGTCATGTACAAGTGTTCTGTGTGGACATGTTTTTAATTCTCTTGGGTATGTACCCAAGCATAGAACTGCTGAGTCCAGTAGTAACTCTATGTTTAATATCGTGAGGAACTATCAAATCGTTTTCCACAGAAGCTACACCGTTTTACATTTCCACCAACAATCTGTAAGAGTTCCAATTTCTCTGCATCTTTGCTGATACTTGTTATTCTCTGCCTTTTTTATTATAGCCATCCTACTGGGCATAGAGTAGCATCTCATTGTGGGTTTGATTTGCATTTCACTATCGTCTAATGATTTTGAACACTTTTTCTTGTCTTTGTTGGCCATTTGTATGCTTTCTTTGGAGTTATATCTATTCAAACCCTTTGCCTATTTTTTAAATGGCTTTAACTTGGGTTATTTATTATTAAGTTGTAAGAGCTCTATATTCTGGGTACTAGACCCTTGGATATATGGTAATATTTGCACATTTTGTATGCAAATATTTCTATTAGATATATTTTTTATTAGTTGCTTATGTATTAGATGTCATATCTAAGAAACCATTGCCTGATCCAAAGATATGAAGCTTTATGCTTGTTTCCTTCTAAGAGTTTTATAATTTTAGTTCTTACCTCTAGGTCTTTGATCCATTTGGGGTTAAATTTTTTTTTTGGCTGTGCCATGCAGCTTGTGGGATCTTAGTTTCCAGACCAGGTGTTGAACCCGGGCCAAGGCAATGAAAGGGCCAAATCCTAACCCCTGAATCACCAGGGAATTACCTGGGTTAATTTTCTTTTTTTCATTATTCATTCATTTATTTAACTTCATCAGGTCTTAGTTGTGGCATGTGGGAACTTCATTGCAACACACAGATTCTCTAGGTGTGGTCCATGGGCTCAGTAGTTGCGGTACACGGACTCTCAAGTTACGGTCTGTGGGCTTAGTTGCTTGTGACACGTGGGATCTTAGTTCCCCAGCCAAGGACTGAACCCACGTCCCCTGCATTGCAAGGTGGATTCTTAACCACTGGACCAACAGGGAAGTCCCCTGGGGTTAATTTTTTTTTCTGTGGTGTGAGATAGGTGTCCAATTTCATTCTTTTGCATGGAATCAGTCACTTATTCCAGCACCATTTGTTGAAAAGACTGTTCTTTCCCCACTGAAATGTCTCAGCACCTATGCTGAAAATCAGTTGCCCAGAAATGCATGGGTTGGTCACTTGACTAGAATGCTTTAAAATGTTGTTTGGGGTTGTAATGGTATAAATAAGAGCAGAGCTCACCTAGAAGGCAGTCTGATGAAAACTTGAGATCTGAAATCCTTGTTTCCACAAGCCCACACACAGGGGAGCTTGATGTGTCTTCTGCACCCACTCTAAGCCTTTAAGGCAGATGTGTGCAATCTCTTGGGCTCCAGACAGCTCTTTTGACACTAGAACCTGCATTTGTCTGTGGGTTCCTCACTGGATTCATAAGCAGAGGTGGAGACAGCAAATAGGTTTACTTCAGAAACAGAACTTGGATTCTCTGAAGCCTCAGGAGAGGGAGGGAAGGAGGAGCAGCCACTGGCCAGTGCACATTCCAGAAGGTGTAGCAGTGTGTGTGTGTGTGTGTGTGTGTGTGTGTGTGTGTGTGTGTACACAAAGGCAGTGCCACTGGCTCCCTTGGCCCCAGACGTACCACTGAGGGGCAGGAAGTGCCAGTCCCATCAGGCACACACCCCGTGTACGTGGCACACATACCACATAGCGTGTGTACACTGTTCTCCAGCAACAGCTTCTGGAACTGTGAGGCTTCTCTGGCTCCACGCCCAGCCCGTCACCCCAACCCTGCTGCCCAGTTATTCCAGGGACAAAGAGGATCCTCACTTCACCCCAGTCCACATCCCAGGGAGCAGTCTTGGAGCCCAGCCCGGAGACACCATTCACTGAGGCTCTGCCAAGGTCGGCGTGGGGCGGGGACAGGCCACACGGCCATTTGGCTGAGCAGACTCACCAGACCCACAGTCAGCCCACTCAGAGGGTAAAAGACAGGCAGTTCCCGTTCGCCTCGAGTCCTTTTCTCTGCTTTGTGAGCTTTGTCACCTGAGACCCTGGGCCGCACGACTCACCTGGTCACCGAAACTGCCCAAGTCCCAGCTGGAGAAAAACTTTGGTGGGAGGGTCTGTGTGTGGGAGCTGGGAGCACCACCATGACTAAGGGGGTTATTTTGCTCAATCACAAAACAGCAGTTTTCTACTTAGCCTTGGGCATTCCAGCTGACAGCCCCATCACACGGGTTTCTTTGTTTAAAAACTTCTAGGGTGTTGTCGGAATTCAGCAAAGCCCAGGTAAACTCTGTGCCAGCCAACGGACCGAGCCGAGAAACGGAGGTTCCCACGCTGCAGGCCCCGCTCCCCCTCCCTGGCCTCGACACCAGCACACCCCTGGACTTGGAGGAACCAGCAGAGCCCCGCCACGCCCAGGCCTCCCCTGGGACTGGAGATGGGGACCACAAGCGGGAGCCGCTTGCCCAGGCGCCTGGCCTCCTGGGCTGGCCGCAGCCGGGCCCTGCCCAAGCTGTCCTTTCCGGGAGCGCTTCAGGCCAGCAGCCTCCTCGTCCCGTGAGAGACGCCACCAGAGCAGCCGGCCAGGAAAGCGGCCAGCAGAAGCCCCCGGAGGATGACGGGCCTTGGCTCAGCCTTGCAGTTCCCTCCCCCACCAGTCCGGTGAGTGGTATAAGCTGAGTTTTGGGGGGAAGGGACGGGAGGAGAGGGGGTGTTGGTGCATGTCTCAGAGCCAGAGTAGGGTTTCCCCAGCTAGTGACCCCAGGTGGTCTCTGCCTTCTCCCTCTGAGCCCCCTCACCTCGTATGGTTCGGTATTAATAGAACATTGTGGTGATAGAGCTAATGTTCTATGGGGTGTGAATAGTGGATGGGAGCTGGGCTCTTTGCCCATCACTTCCCATGGGTGTCGCCTCTCACCTACACACGTACCCCCTGGAGAAGGTAGTTCTCTCCCGAGCACAGGCTCTGCTCTTCACCACGGACACTCACCCAGTTTTTGCCTCACTGAGCTTTGGTCTCCTCCTCCATGCTTGTTACTATTTATTTATTTACTTTGCTGTGTCAGGTCTCAGTTGGAGCATGCGGGATCTTTTGTTGTGGTGCAGGGATTCTCTAGTTGTGGCGTGTGGGCTTACTTGCTCCACAGCATGTGGGGTCTTAGTTCCCCAACCAGGGATCAAACCCTAGTTCCCTACATTGCAAGGCAGATTTTTTTTTTTTTTTTGCCACTATCTTTTCTTTATTTTTTTTAATTTTTGAACTTTTTATTTGGTATTGGGGTATAGCTGATTAACAATGTTGTGACAGTTTCAAGTGAATAGCAAAGGGGCTCAGCCATGCATATACATGTATCTATTCTCCCCCAAATTCCCCTCCCATCCAGTCTGCCACATAACATTGAGCAGAGTTCCACGTGCTATACAGTAGGTCCTTGCCTGTTATCCATTTTAAATATAGCATCCCAACTCCCTAACTATCCCTTCCCTTCCCCTTGGCAACCATAAGTGTGTTTACTGATCACATTAAAATGAAAGCATTTTAAATATGTATTTTAAATAAAATATAAAATTAAAGTTTTAGTTAATTAAATACAACTTTAATTAAAGTTTTAATTAAAGTTATTAAAATTAACTTCACTTTTTTTTTTAACTTTCTTTAATGTGGGTCTTAGATCATCTAAGATGACCTGTGTGGCTTGCATTTGTTTATGTGGGACGACACTGTTCTAGAATAAGCTATTCTAGTGTGTTGATGACCTGAAGAAGCCAGCGCTGGGACTGGCCTGGAAAAAGCCCAGAGGTAGAGGCTGGAACTGGGGGCCCTACTACTGTGAAGCAGTAGTCAAACTGTGAACTCGAGTTCTTACGCCATTTCACATTTGTTCTTGGGTCATGAAAAGCAGAAGTAGGAACTGGAGTGCACGTGTGCCCACACAAAACCCAGAGCTCATCCCAGCTGTGTCTGGGGCTCGTTTTGGGCATACAGTCTTACTCTTGCAGCTCCATCCACAAACGTCCCTCCTTTGGCCTGTAGCTTCTAGATTCTATAACTCAGGATGGGCCAGGGCCATGAAATAGACTATAGGAGACACCCCCACCCCCTCTTTTAACAGCTTTATTGTGATATAATTCACATACCATACTATTCACCTAATCAAGTGTATAATTCAGTTTTTTATTCACAGTTGTACAACCATCACCACAGTCCAAGTTTAAATATTTTCATGTTCCATAAAAGAATCCCCATACCCCTTAGCAATGATTCTTGCCCTTTCCTCCCACTCCTGCCTCTCCTCACCTTGCTCAACTCCACACAACCACTAATCTACTCTGTCTATAGATCTGCCTGTTCTGGACATGTTACATGTGTAGAATTGTATGATCACATTTGTGATTGGCTTAGTTTCAATTAGCAAAATGTTTTTAAAGTTCATCCATGTTGTGGCATGTATTAGTACTTTGTCTTTTTTTTTTAATATCCCTTTGTAAATTCCATCATATGGATGTGTCACATTTTATTTATCCATTCATGGGTTAATGAACATTGGCATTTTTCCTACCTTTTGACTGTTGTGAATAGTGCTACTATGAACATTCATGTATAATTTTTTGCTTGGACATATATTTTTAACTTTTTTGGATGCATAGCTTGAGGTACAATTTTGGGATCATATTGTATCTCTATATTTAACCTTTTGAGAAACTGCCAAACTGTTTTCCAAAAGCAGTTGTCTTGTTTTATATTTCAACCAGCAGTGTATTTCTCTACATCATAACCAACATTCTTACTGTTTTTTTATTATACGTGGTATCTCATTATGGTTTTGATTTACATTTCCCTGATGACTAATGATGTTGAGCCTCTTTTCATGTGCTTATTACCATTTGTGTTTTTCTTTGAAGAAATGTCTATTCAAAACATTTGCTCATTCTTGGGAATTCCCTGGTGGTCCAGTGGTTAAGACTGTGTGCTTCCAATGCTGGGGGCACAGGTTCAGTCCCTGGTCAGGGAACTAAAATTTCCACACGCCACGTGTCATGGCCAAAAAAAGATTGCCCAGTCTTAAATAGGGTTATGTAATAAATTACAGTTTTTTTGTGTATTCTAGACACTAGCCCTTTCTTAGATAAATGATTTGCAGATTTTTCTCCCATTCTGTGCATTATCTTTTCACTTCCTTGATGGTACCATTTGAAGCATAAAAGTTTTGAATTTTTTGTTGCTTGTACTTTTGGTTTCATCTCTAAGTACTCCTTTTCTAAGCCAAGGTCATGGAAAGTTACTCCCATGTGTTCTAAATGTTATAGTTTCATCTCTTACATTTAAATCTGTGATCCACTTAGAGTTAATTTTTGTATTTGGTAAAAGAATGGCACCTGACTTCATTTTTTTACATGTGCTTATACAGTTATACGAGCACCATTTGTTGGAAAGATTTTTTTTTTTTTTAACATTTTTATTTATTTGTTGGCTGTGCTGGGTCCTCACTGTGGCTCAAGGGCTTCTCTAGTTGTAGCACATGAGCATGGTTGCCCAGCGGCATGTGGGATCATAGTTCCCCAACCAGGGCTCAAACGCACATCCCCTGCATTAGGAGGCAGATTCTTTACCACTGGACCACCAGGGAAGTCCCTGGAAAGACTACTGTTTGCCTGTTGAATTGCCCCAGTTTCCCCTTTAAACATTTTTTTGAGGAATGATGTATCTAAAGCACCCAGATCCTCAGTGTACACCTCAGTGGATGCTTATATGTCACACACATTCTGTAACCACCATCCAGATTGAGATATAGAACATTTCCAGCCACCAGAAGTTTCGCTTCTGCCCTCTTCCATTCACTGCCCCCCCACTCCAAAGGAAACCACAGTTCTGACTTGTAGCCCATAAAGTCTTTCCTGTTGTTGAACTTAATATAGATAGAATCACATAGTATATATTCTTTTAGTTCTTTCACTGAACTTTATATATGTGAGATTCATCTATAGCCTGAGGTTCTTTTCCATTGTTCTGTAGTATGCCACCATAAGAATACAGATTTTTTACCACTAGCGCCACCTAGGAAGCCCATAGACTATATCACAACATCCCGTATATTCAATTCCCGTAATGTATTCACAGAAGTTTGAGTTGTTTTCAGGTTTGGGCTATTATGAAGAAAGGAGATATGAGCATTCCTATACTTGCCTTTCAGTGAATCCATGTATTCGTTTCTGCTGCTGCTGCTGCTAAGTCACTTCGGTCGTGTCCGACTCTGTGTGACCCCATAGACAACAGCCCACCAGGCTCCCCCGTCCCTGGGATTCTCCAGACAAGAACACTGGAGTGGGTTTCCATTTCCTCCTCCAGTGCATGAAAGTGGAAAGTGAAAGTGAAGTTGCTCAGTCATGCCTGACTCTTAGCGATCCTACGGACTGCAGCCTGCCAGGCTCCTCCATCCATGGGATTTTCCAGGCAAGAGTACTGGAGTGGGGTGCCATTGCCTTCTACATTCATTTCTGGGTGTGCATCTAAGAATGGAATTGCTAGGTCACCGGGTAGCCGTGTGTTGAGCTCTAGACAGGAAAGCCTGGCGTGCTGCAGTCCATGGGGTCGCAAAGAGTCGGACGTGACTGAGTGACTGAACTGAACTGGACTGAACTAAGATACTGCCAAACAGTTTTCAGAGGGCTTGTACTAACTTATACTCACATTAGCAATGTGAGCATTTTCATTGTCCTTCATCATAGTCAGTGGTATTGTCAATCTTCTACATTCTGGCTACTCTAGTAGGTATATAGTGGGGTCTCACCGTGGTTTTAATTTGCATTTCCCTGATGACTAATGATACTGATAGCTTCTCATTTGCTTTTCGGAAGCATTCTTTAAAGTTATTGTCCCATTCTTGAATTGAATTGTGTGTTTTCCTTATTGATTTGTAGCAGTTCTTTATATACTATGGATGTATCTTTTATTGGATAAAAAAATACATATATATATATATATATAGCAAATATGTTCATATAATCTATGGCTGGCCTTTGAGTTCAGTTCAGTCACTCAGTCGTGTCTGACTCTTTGCAACCTCTCAATGGTATCTTTTTAGTATTATTTATTTAGCTATGCTGGGCTTTGATTGTGGCATGTAGAGTCTTTTTTTTTTTTTTTTAATATAGTTTCAGCATGTGGGGTCTGGTTCCCTGATCAGGATCAGACCTGATCCAGGGACCCCCTGCATTTGGAGTTCGGAGTCTCAGCCACTGGACCACCAGGAAAGACCTATCAGTCTTTCTGTTTTTCAATCAATGTGTTTCGTGTCTATTTTTAAAATCTCTTTGTCCCCCAAGGCTATGAAGGCTGTGGAAATCCCTGAATTTTCTTCTAGAAGTTTTCTTATTTTACCGTTTACAATTAGGTATATGATCCACCTGAGCTTATTTAGATCTGGTATGAGGTAGGTGTTTTCCACATGGATGTCAGGTTGACCTCGTGCCGTTTATTGAATACGACTATAAATCATGGAGCCGTGTACGTGTGGATCAGACTCTCCATTTTTGCTATCCCAAAGGTGACTTCAAGCCCAGAATGTCACAAGGCCCTGAAGTCTGTGACTATGAAACCAGCAGCACACGCTGAGGTTGAAGAGAAAGGCTCTGTGGCCCCCACTAAAGGAGAAGGATGTACC